GTCATTAGTTCAAGGGGATCAAAAACTCGTCCCAAGTTGCCTCCTATCAACTGGCGAGTGATTATAGGTGTTCGAATGCCTTCGGGCAAAGCTAATGAGCTGCTCTCGATCAAAGTAGATGAATTTCTGTGTGTCTTTCTTCTCTTTTTAGCGCAATTTAGCTAATTACAGGATGCTGGGTGGAATCTTGTTTGTGTTTTCTGCACACTGAACAATTTTGATGTTTTAGGTCCGGAAATATCTTGAGGCATAGTTGAAACGCGTCTTTGCTTTTAAGGGGTCTTCGTTTTTGATTTTTTCTTTTTGAAATATTCGTCGAATTTGACCACATTATGGCTCGTGTGAAGTTTGCAATTAATTTTTGTAGGAGGTATCTGGATAATTCCTGTCAGGGTAGGAAACTTGAGGTGTGCTGATAGCTGGTTTGCTCTCTATTCTGATTTTTTGATCAAAAACAGTTTTTGGAATAAATCTATCTCAAAACTTGTAAATTTTTATTTTGACTCTAGTTCATGTGTAGTCGTGTTATGGCAATCATGCTGAATTCGACTGTCAAGGTTTGGTTGCTCTTCGTTTTCTTTTTTAGCTTCTTTCAAGCATTCGGAGTCGAACAGAGTGAGATTTGGAACCTCGTATAATCTGTCTTATAAACACTTTGATCCTTGCCAAAACTCGGGCATCTTCTGGAATTCGTATGCAACCGATCCTGGATTCAAGAGTTACCTCTCTCCTTGTCATCTGGGGGCCTGAACTTGGCCACCTTTTTTAAGTTTTTTGGCAATAACTGTAATTGCTTCAAAATCAATACTCGAGGCTTTTGAAGGCTTGATAAGGTTTGCGGTGCATTGGAGAATGCCTAGAGGCTTCACTGAGTCCAGTTTATTTGTACAGCGGTACTGGAAACAATCAGAAACTGAGTGCCAATTAAGCCCAAGAGTTTTGACGCTGTGGTCATTTTCTGCTAAAGAACGCTCTTCGTTTTCATGCAACTTGTCGAATATATTGTTCATGACAACCTTGTTTTTGCTTGTCTGCTTCCGAATGTGGTGTAGCCAGGCTTTTTCCAGAGTGAGCGTGACTTTCTGGCGCATTCTATTGGTTTGTTCCCCAGTATCTGTACCACCAAGGTAGTCGTCCACCTAGAAAGACTCACGAATTGCTAGCTTTGTCTGTTCTTCATCTATTGTGTCGGCGGTGTGTGACAAGATTCGTATGGCGTGATAGCTACTTAAAGCTATATCTTAGATGGCACTAATCATCAGGTACTTCTCATTTGATTCCTCTTCTTCTCTTCTCCAGTAGAAATGAACTAGTTTTCTGTCATTGTTGTGTAGTTCCATCAGATAGTGTAATTTTGTAGAATCGGAACCGGACAAGGATGTTGAAGAAGTCTGGTTGCTGTTTGACCCCAACAAGGTTCTTGGCTTCACGGTTCTGTCGTAGCTTCTTTTCATTAGAAATGAATCGCTGGAAAGCTTTGCGTGCTGAGTGACCAATATCGGTTAATCATTCATTGTTGAATTTGTCTTAGTTCCCCTGTAATTTGTTGTTTGACAATCTCACCATAGCTCGTCTGGGCCATAAGTCGTAGTCTGATTGAATTGTCGGACACACTCAAGCTCGTTGGATGAGTGTAGGCATTCTGGATATGAGAGAGTATCTTCAGTTTCCCAGAATCTGTCAAATGTGGTGGACTGGCTGTCATGGATGTTAATTCCTCATCGTGGCGAGTTTCTTCGGGTTGTGACTGTGTGATCGGTATCAGCGACACCTGAGATTGTCCAACCAAGGATCATGTCGGTTAGCAGTATAGTTCCTTCCTTGACATTCTGTGACTTCACAATGTGTGTAGACAGATATTCCAAGCAGCAGATCAATTGTGCTGGGCTTGTCGAAAACTGGATCTGCTATGTTGTAGTTTCTGACCTTCCATAAATCTGTGGTTGCGTTTTGGGTGTTTTGATTCTCGTGATCCGTGATATTTTCGAACACTACACAAGAAACTTTTAAATTGTTAAGAGATTTTGGTAGAACTGTGTGATTCATTCGACCATGGGTAGACATAGGTTTCTTCTGCTTCACTCCAAATAAGCGATCTGGAGCTTCTGTTGGTTTGATGCCAAGTCGGTGCATGGCCTGTAGGGTAATGACGTTCGTCTGAGCACAATTGTCAACGAGCGCACTCAAGTGATGAAATCGACCGTACTGAGATTGAATTTTGACGTTTGCCGTTGGAAGAACTGTGATAGTTCCAGTTCGGTTGATTTGAGAAACATCGATTGTCGCTGCGAGATGAGGACTGGGCTGACTAGAACTACCATGAAGAGTTGTATCATGCTTCTTTTGACTTGTCTTGCACAGTGATGCTGAAGGACGTTGCTGGATGCCGTGGCAACAAGCAATTGAAGCACATCCTAATACTGGTCAAAAAAAATTTTTTTTTGACGTTGTCCTCGATCTGTATTTCGCACACTGCCATATTGAATGCCGTTCTTGGCAGGTTTGAGCTTTACACTGTGGTAAAGAGAAGCCATTCTTATGAGATCGGTTCTTTTCTGTCAATAAAATCTTCTGCGCACGCTCTGGCTTATGGGGTATTCAATGAGATCCTTCATACACCTTTAAAGACCTGACTCAGTTGTCTAATAACACCATAAACCGATCAAAGTCAAGAGCTTCAGTCCCATAATTTGCAGTTTCTCATGCTTCTGAGATTCAGGATCGAGACTCTCGAAGAGAAGAAAATGCCTTAAACCGTATTCTTCTGACCTTCCGAGTGCCTTGATGGACCGCGAAGTCTCATTCAAGACTGTGTGTAGCTGACGAAGCTGAGAGTCATTGTCCGTTTGAACTGCAGCGGATCCGTAAATTCGTGACAAAAGCTTTCGAAGAGTGACCCGATCTTTTTGTATCTCTGCTCTAGCATTTGAAGCGCTACTTTCTAGTTCCTTTCTGTCGTCTCCAAGTTCATGATGAGCTTAGAAGAATGGCTCGTCAAGCAATGTAACATTCGCCCAGACTTAACTCAGTGTCGGAACGTAGAAACACTAATTATTGACGACTGGCTGTTGTCCGTTTCCTTAATTCTACTGGTTTTTAATCGTCTTGACCTAGCCAGTTGTTTTTCTGATGATGTATGGGCCATGTATTGAGTTAGCATTTTCAGGCCATCAGCCAATCGACTTTTGATCAGCTTTCGTTTACATGTCAGAATAACCACATCGTTGGGTCTGGGATCCCCAAACTAGGTGAAAACTATTAAAAACACGGCTGGAAAACCAAAATTATGTATGCTTTTAGTGACAGTTAAATACTGAATCAATTAGAGTTGGATCGACTCTTTTCTCGACTCTAAATACTCATGCTCTGAATTACTAAAAAAGATTCTTGGAGTCAATTCAACCCGTTCGGGGCATTACAGCAGTTAAAATATACCGTTAATGTCTCTAACAGTCTCGGTGCACTGGGCCTTCGATTCCGTCCTCTCCCGGAGATAACGTCGCTATTTCTCTGATTTCGTGGCCCGGGAGTGTTCGGAATCCTCCCGAATGTCCCACTGGACCTTCCATCTATAGAGGCACCTTATCGTGTCTCGTTCTCACGATAAGAGTCTCCGTTTCATTCTACATTTCACTCTAATTTTTGACTGAATTTCGTCTGTGTCACGGTTGTTGTTACTGTTGTTGTGTTTTACCTTCTATTTCCGGTCAAAATGGACGTTTTTCGTATTTCTCAGAAAGGTTCAAGTTCAAATCGAAATTGTGAAATATAAAAAAATTCTTTAACGTTTTAAGCCTCCTTTTTATCACAATTTCGGTGCTAAGGCCTTTAATGTTCCTTTCGACGTGCATCGATAAGTTCGACCGTGCCAATACGGCGGAATGACACCTAACAATAGAGATACATCAGTTTTTAACTAATGACAGCTTGTCCTTGTCATGAACAGTTGATCGATATTGATCAATGAAGCTTAACCATGCAGTGGAATTGCTACTGAAGCTAGGCAGATTGATCTAGGCAGGGTTGATAGGCCGACTTGATGCGGCTATCATTCTCTTTGCGGCTTGTAGAGTGGCGAGCAGCCTTCTGTGTTGTCTGACATTGATCGAATACTTGATCGTATAGTGCATCCTTGGTGATAGCGTCAAGCAATTTGGTTGTTTCATCGCTCAACTCGATTTGGGTACAGTTGAGGTTAGCACGAAGGTCACTGACTTGAGAAGTTTGCCGTTTCAGTATTCGCAGACAGTTTCTTTGAGCTTTTTTAAGCTTCTCCATAGCCGATAAAGTTTGAATTTCGCTAGTAGGCTCAGCCAGTGTGCTTAGTTTCCTTAGGTTATGAAGCGGACCAGAATGAATTCTTTGCGATAGCTGGAAAGTGGCTATCGTAGAGCTTAGTTTTTAACATATATTTGTTCATCTATTTATATAAATTTTGCCTTATTTTTAATAAGGGAATTAATTCTTTTTTTGTTTGTTGTTTGTTTGTTTGTATGAAAATTGAATTAATGACGATTTATCTTGAACAAAAGCTTTTCGGAGGAATACTCTTCTGTAGATCTTAGTTTTTAACATATATTTGTTCATCTTTTTATATAAATTTTGCCTTATTTTTAATAAGGGAATTAATTCTTTTTTTGTTTGTTGTTTGTTGGTTTGTATGAAAATTGAATTAATGACGATTTATCTTGAACAAAAGCTTTTCGGAGAAATACTCCAGTCTTCAAAAATCAAAGCCACATTGAGTGGAATGTAAAAAAGTAGGTTGTGAAAAACAATGATAGAGGGAACGAGAGACTGGTCATCAGTCAAAAAAGAGTTCTCTTCTGGAGTATACCTCTATGATGATTTAGTTACATAGGAATAAATTATCTTGCCATTTAAAACATGCTTTGCTGGCTCCAACACATATCATAGACAAAGGGTTTTATGTGATGGCCAAATTTGGAATTTCGATTTCTTGCTGAACTTTATGCGAACTGCTAATCACTTTCAGATTTTGACCTGAGTTCATGTTCTCGTTTGGACAATCACAGGCCCCCAGTAATGTCTCTTCAGGGGCTCAAACTGGGGATCTCAATCTTAAGAAAGTTATTGAAAATTTCCTCACTGACCTGCGACTTACCGCTTCGGAGACTAAACGAAAATATCCTAACATCAAAGAATTATGCGACGCCTCCATCCTGAAAATAAGGAGCATTCAAACCAATAAGCCGGTCGACCTTGCCGCTGGTATCAGGTAAATTAAATACAAATAAATGAATTATAACATCTCTATAAAGAGGCAAATATGTTTTAAATTTTCGAGTCTATCGAGTTTTGAAACTATCAAGTTCGAGAAAGTAGCAGTTTCACTCGTTCATGTGGCAACTTCTAAGGTAAATTAAAGCTATGTTAGAGATAAAAATACTTAAAATCCTGTCACGAAAAGATAGAGGGAATCTAAATTGACTTAGGTCGTGTGAAAAATTGAACAGCAGCCGCTATTGGCTTGCCTGCTATTTTTTTTGGTAATCAGAAGGTCAAAAGTATCATAGTAACCGAGGTTACAGTCAGGAGTCCCTTCATCACGTATTCCAGTCAAAATCCTTGGAAGTGATAATGATAAAAGAAGATGACAAGTGTTTAAGTCCTTTTCAATTAAAATCGATACAGGTTACGTTTCTTCAATAAGAACACGCAACTCGACACGAGAAAATATATTATACAAGTGTTACAAATAAAAAATTTTGTCGAAAGTTATTTTGTCATTTATTGTTCGGAGTATGCAAGCGGCGTTCGCAATCTGTAGTGCCAGGGAGATTCTCTGTTTTAAAAAGCTGCCTGCTCTGGGTTCCTCAGTGCATATGCTTAGGTTCTTACAAAGCTTGCTCAAAAAAAACTTCTGTGCTGGGGCCGGCCGCGCCCCGAATTACAAAAGCTAGTGGTTGAAATAGATATCCATCTACAAGATCTTTATACTTGTCACTTTTTCGCTCTTCCGATTCAGCGGCAGCCGTACCAGGGTTACAAACAGACCCGGCATAAATCTTACAAGGAGCTAAGGAGTTTACTACCGTTACATCCCACAAGAGCTGCTTACCAACAGCCCATGGAAAGAGCGTCAAACCGTCTGGTCGCTTGTGATCGGTCCTGTAGAGGTGTCGTGGTTCTAAAACAGACGGAATGTGAGTAGAAGATAAACTCTGCTTTATAAGGGCATTCAGGTTTGAATGCCTAGAGAATCTCCTTGCACTTTTGAGGCAAGAAAGACCATGCCAACCATCCTCGGTAACGTCTTTTCCGCACACGCATTTATGCCGTTCGCATATTTTTGAGTTGTTGGTTCGACATTTTTAACAGTAAATTTTTGTACGGGATGACGTTCAACCATTGGGAGCCAAATTTGTTTTGGAACATGTTGAATCTTTTTACGTCCGTTGGTTCGAGTCGTAAAATCAAGTCTGCAATTTCGCTGTCAAAAATTGGCTCCGTCATTTCCGGAGCCATTTCAATTTTTCCAAGTTCAAACCACCGTTTAAGCGCATCATCATAGGTTCCATCCACATGCTCGAAACCAAAGACTTCGCTCAAGGCATCTTTTGATCCTACTGCTGAGGCTAAGAAAGCGAGTAGACGAGCGAAGAAACGCCCAAGCCACCTTTGGCTGCCGGGAGAACGGCTTGTAAAAACTGGTTATCATCCATTTTCACGTTAGTGACCTTACATAACTAATTTCTTAGTAATTTGTCGTAGCGTTCCAGAAATCATTTTGCAAAAAACTAGAGCTCGTACTCAAAAAATATAGGAGTTTTGGCATGCTAAAGCAATTTTTCAAGAGGTAAAAACCATAATGGATGTCTAGTTTGTCAATGATATCCGAGATTTTTTCAAGCTCCTTAATTTTTTCGTCAAGCAGTTCTTTTCGGCAAAGTTTGCCGATTGGAGATCCTAAAATGAGGAGTTCTTCTTTTATTTTTATTTTGGAGCATATTTTTCGATTTTGTGTTAAAATTGAATTATACTGTGTACTCGTAGTCGGTCCCAAAAATTAAAGATCGCACTTCTCAGTGTTCAAGCTCAGGTCGTAAATTTGTTCCGATTTCAAAATGTTTTAAGGTCCTGGAGTACTACCTTATAGTCGTCGGCTAAATTTCCATCATCTAAATACCAGATGTTAATTTTCGACTCCAACTGTTTGACTAGTGTATGAATTGTTTCTGCAAAAAAGGGGTGGTGCTTCAGGATCACCTTGCTGAGTTCCGTCTTCTGACAATATGACAGAGCTTCCGTAAAAAAAGGTAACTATGTTTACTATACGCGCAATGGGTGTAATTATACAATTCGGGGCGATTTGAATAAACATGATTCAGCATTGTTTCTCTATTTAGAGAGTTAAAGGCATTCTTAAAATCTAGTTTTAAAAGAACAGTGCATTTTGGATTGTCGTCGCGTTCAATTAGGTTTCGAAACGAGTGTGCAGCTATTTCTGCTCCTCGTTTGGTACCGCAAATTACCTGTACGTTTCCGAAAAAATTTTGTCGCTCGGAGAGGGCCTTGTTTCCAGCGCATTTAGACGCGATACGTCTCAGCGTGTTGCCTATGGCAGTCGGTCTCAACCCTCCGTCTATCTTTATGAGGGCGATAAGGTTTGCGCCAAAAAAAGGTCCTAGGGGTTCGGGTATTTTGCCATCTCCAATGAGGTTTATCAGCTCAGTAAGCGATTTCAGAAAATTAAGTCCTGCACTGCCATTCGACTTACTAACAAGATCTTTAAAAATTTTAGGAACTATTTTATCAGGACCTGCTGCTGATCCGTTCGGAAAGGACATTATCGCTTTGTATAGGTCGAAATCGGTTACGAAAAAACTATCCAAGTTTTCTGGATTTGAGCTGCAACTTTGGCTCGCTGAGGGTGCTTAGACAACAATTTTTTATAGTTATCAGTTGAAAAAGGAGCAATTTTATCATCCAAAGCAGCAAGCCTTATTCCTCCCTTTACATTTACTTCATCGAGCTTAATACTTATTAGCTTTATTCTCTGCTCGAGGTCACTCAGAGGCGGGCTTGAAACTTGGGGATGGGGTTTTAGAAGTGACTCGTCATTTGCTCGAGTTTTTTTATTTATCAAAGAGCTCATGCTTGTGGTCTGTTTGCGTCCACTTCTTTTCGGCTGCTCCAAAAAAAACAGGAACGATGTTAAAAAAATTAGCCATTTTGTAACATCTTCTACATTGTAGACGATGTCATTTATTTTGTCCGCCAGACTTTCCGCCAAGGGAACACGCGAGTCTTTTGGTACTCTCTTGAGTACTCGGACATTTGAGATGGCTGTAATAACATAATTGTCTAGCACTAAATCATTACCTATTGTTGCTTTATTAACAGATTTTACATCAACGCATAAAGGACACTGAAACCATTGGGTTTTCTTAGAGTCGCTAAGAAAAATATTTACTTAACTGATATGATACCAACTAGAACAACAATCACATCTAATCCAATTTATCAGTCCTGAAGGTTTTAAGCAATCTTTAAGCAATCAATGCCTGCTTATTAACGTACTGATATGAAGTCACTTCGTAAGCAGAGCTTGTTATCCTGGTTAAAGTTCTATGGGTATTGTTTTTTCAGTTGGTTTTTATAACCCTTATGTTATTTGGCATTCTTTTTTTGGTTTCGACTGAACAGTTGTCTATCCAAGCATAGTTGGCTTAGTGGCCGCTCCGTAATCAATCGTAAATGCATATATACAGTTCTTGCTTGTGTATTACGACTTTTCTAAATTTGAATATCGGTCGAGACACGCCTTAAATTTTTGTAGGTTGATTTTTTGAATATATTTTGGTCTCATTTTCCATTCATCAGCATGCAATGCTATCCTTGTGTTCCTTTCACCAATTTAACTCTAATTGACTTTTTCAATTGAAGGTTGCTGATGGTTTGAAATGTAATCTACCGTGAACTGTTATCGCATATTCTTTGTTATTGTAGTTGTGTGTTTGTGTGTTGTTATTGTGGGTTGATTTAGTGTTTGATGCTGTTGTGTGGTGTAGTGTAATGTGAGTTGTGTTGTGTTTGATATAGGGAGGTGTCGTCGGAGCTGATCGAGCCGTTTCTGCTGGCTGTGGATGTGCGGGTGGCGCGACTGAACCAGATTAGTCTGCAGGCGGTGCAGAAGTTGATTGTGGCCTCCCTCATCTCCCAGCTGGCAGCCTCCAAAGTGGTGGACATGATGGGGGTGCTGGTGGAGATGGAGGCACTCAAGGTGCTGCAGACCCTGCTTCAACTCGTCACCACAGACACCATCGTGGTCAAAGGCAAGTCTAGCATACCGACAGCAGTAGCACAGATTACAATCAATGACAATAGTTCGGTTTTGACACTTGCGAACGTGCGTAATCGTGAACTAAGTTTTTTTTTTTTCATTAAACAACATTGCTTCCAATTATTAAACTACATTGCTGCTGATACTTGATTGAAGTGTCATTACGAGGCCAAATTGTGTATTTTGTGCATTGTAAGCGGATTCCGCAACAAGGACACTCCTTTTGTTCTTCTTTTGTTCTTTTTTCCTTTGATCGTTCCGACAAAATTTTAACATGTTTAAAGACTTGTCTCTGGAATGCAGGAACATACAGACACAAAATCGTGCGCCTATCCAATGCACATTTTGGCCTCGTAATGGTTGGCATAGGTTTTTTAAGGCTGGGCGGCCTTTTTGGTGTAGATAGGGAGTCAATTATTGAGCCGTAGCCGTTCCCACTGAGGAGGTGGATGACACTGGGAAGTCGGGACCGAAATTGGTCTCAAACCAACGACTGACTTATACAGAGCTGCTGCGTGCCTTACCCTCTTGGCTACGGCTGCTTGACTGCCACAGCCGCTCTTGGCATAGTTTTTATTGTTACAAGGCTCATAAAGTTAAATGTTTCATTTGATTACACGGTGCATATTACTATCTGATACAGTTTTATGGTTGAAACCTTGTTTAAAAAATTGGTTGAAATCTTTGTAGGCCCATGTTTCGATTATATTATCTTGTACAGCGTGGTAGTAGACCAAGTGGTTCATACTGCTTAGTAATTAGTAATTAATTTTTTGAATGTAAAAGCTTTCGAAAGAAATGTCACATTTTAATCGATTTTCAATGAACGAGTAAGACACTGCTTTTTTCAGGTCTGGTGATTTTTCAGTAGTTCATTTTCAGGGGAAAAAGTTATAATTTGAGCTTGCTCAATTTTGATTGTTTGCGGTTTTTTTTTTATTATTTCAAGCTCATTTGTCGATAAAAGGCAAGTTATTTTTGCAATAAAGAACGTGCAAATGGATCAAAAACACGTGAAGACATGAAGTTTTCGGAAGCGGTTTTTTTAGATTTGCCAGCGGAGTAAAAAGAATAGTGTGAATCATAAAACTTTCTGAAATTCAAATAGCTATTATGTGAAGTAACTTTTTTCGATACAAAATTTTTTCTTGTTCAAAATGTTGGTTTCCTCTTGTTCATTGACGTGTTTGGATCTGTTTTTGGATTTGGGGTTTTTGTTTGATTTGTCTTCGGCTTAGTTTCCGATTTCTTTTCTGAAATATCAGCCGTTTTCTCTAATATATTTTCAGCTCTCGTTTTTTTAAAACCCCAAGAGGAGTCTAAATGAAAAATGTATCTTCATTTGGTTGGTTTTTCGTCAATTTTGTTTTATTTTTGTGGCCCAAAGCATGTTAACTTACGTTTCTTCATGAATGGGCGTCTTTTTTGTTCCGCCCTGAGTTATTGTTTTGTTTGCCTTCATGTGAGTCGTATGATAAGTAAAATCTTTTTGAATTGAAAGTTTGACGGCAAATCTAGTATACATTTAAATGCGGGCTTCACTATCTCGCCATGTTTAAGCTTTTTCAACCGCTTATGTTTGCATGTGTAACGAAAGAAATTTCCACCTTTAAGCTATATCGTATATCGCAATGGTTAATTTTTTTTTTGATTTTCTTGTTTGAATTCCATATTCAAGGCTGAAATGAGCAACTCATTAGTGGGATGCTGTCAGGGTTCCCTAGGGGTTGATTTGAGAATTTTCCTCCAATTCATTTTAGTTGACGAGATACGACAATTTTTCGGATTTTTCGAAAATTTTGAGAAATTTTGAAATATTTCACAAAATTTTCAAATTCCCAACCCGGTAGTTGGGTGCTGTCAGGGTACTGTCAGAAGTTGCGAAGCTTGCCTGCAAATATGACTGCTTAAATCCTTGTTTTTTTCGAGATACTCTAGATTTAATGAAACTCAACATCTTGGAATACCCAATCTACTAGGGTTTTGCGTAAATCCATTTTGAAATTTTGAAAATTACGCATTTCCATTTCAGTACAACATATGATTTAAAATATTAAAACAGGTACATCCAGTTTTATCTGGGCCACTTGTTTGCTTCCAAGTGACCCTTGCACAAATACGAGGTCGTGAGTGATGCCCCTACTCATCAGGTCGAAGATTCATATCCGGAACATTAAAAAGTTTTATTTTTGCTCGAATTTTTGCTGATTTATTGGTGGCTAGTGTTAGTAAATTTACAAGAGGTCGTGGAGCAGATGTGAGAAGGTGATATTCCTAATCTTAAAATTTATCAATTTTTTTTTCAAGGTGTAATTTTAATCTTTTCCTTTGTTTCTTATTTCATTTTGTTTTGCCTGTTTAGAGCTCTGTAATTCTATAGCAGTTTCAAACTTGTTCGTGCTATATTTGAACATTCAATTGTGTCTATCTTAGGGGTGAAATGGGCGAATAACATGTGGATCTATGATTTTTAGGTGCATTGCAGAGGGCCATTGCAATATGCACTAATCTGACGTTTTCGAAAGAACCGGTGATCGCGAATACGGCTGAGGCGACTGTGAAGCAGCTGGTGAACACCATCTTCGACCGCATAGACGACCGAAAGATGAAGGAGAAAGGTGGAGGGGGGACGAGAGAGATGATTGGGTCTGGTTCGTCTCCAGAAGAACTGTTCCCGGAGCAGAGTGTATTTCTGCATGATGCAGAGTGCTTCCTAAAGGACCTGTGTACTAATGTGACGAATGAGCAGACTCATTTGAGGACTACCTCGGAGGTGTCTCCAAGTCTGGGCATTGAGATCCTGGAGAACGTGCTGCACATATACCACCGCAAACTGACCGCTTGTCCCACTCTCATGTTGGTGGTGAAAGACAACGTCTGCAAACTAGTCCTCAAGATGCTTTCTCCCTGCTGCACCAAACTCAAGGTCAGCTAGTCAGGCTACATTTCAAAACATTATAACGCTACGGCCAAATGGAGAACATCGATCTCCCCCCTCGCAAGCAAGGCCCAGAATAGTAAGAAGGGAGGGGTCTTTTCGGTTATACCCCCCTAAATTATGAAAAAATGAAACGAAAATTTTTATTATATAATTGGAACACTGTTACTAGGAAATGCACTATATTATTAGGGGACTAGCAAAAACGAACCATTTTAACTTAATTGAGTCTCAATCTGGTTTTTTTTTGTGACGGCCATGGACAGCATTTTAACCTTGAAAAAGTTATAGTAGATAGGATTAAGTATAATGGGGTGAGAAAATTTTAAAACCGCAAATTGCGAATATCCTTATTGCTTAAGATATAAACAAATTTAAATTTACGAAGCCATTTCAGAAAATCCGCCTCGTTAACTGTTTTTATGATAAAATTTAAAAAAATTTCCAGATCGTTTGCTGTGTTTGTTTGCTGTTTTTTTATCATAATAAACCATTAGCAGATGCTCGGTTGGAAAGTTCTAATAACTCAAGCAAACTGTTTTGAGAGTTTTGTCTCAGCTGTGCTAGCAGTTGTTTTTGCTAACTCAACACTAATTTGGCTTACAGAGAATGTGAATGCTTTCATTTTTCCCTTAAAAAGGTAGTTCATAAAATACGTTTTTGAAGACATGAAGTTTAAATGACCTTCATACGTATTTCCATAACAATTAGACCGGTTTGTTTTGTGGGTTGAGCGTTAGATTTGTAAAACACGAAAAGATGATTTTCAGACAATTTTAGTTCTACAAAACTGCGATATTTTTTTGTCTATTTTTATTTATCTTTTCCTTGAAATTTTTGTCTACGAGTCCTAGGTTTTTGACAGAATTTTTCCTTTCAAAAGTAATTTCGTTAGTTTTGTTATAGAAATTAGAACTTTGCCCAAAGTTAACAGATGCACACTTATACCTATTTATGGTCAACCGATATTTTTCTAAACAATTAAGGCAATTTTCAACATCTTCATCGCTCATTATTACCATTACGACAAGCAGAATACATTGCGGTGTCATCAACAAAAAAACAGCTTTTGAATTATTGCATACATCAGGCACATCGTTGGTATGTAAATGAAAAGCAAGGGTCCCCAAACGGAGCCTTGGGGCACACCAAATCGGACTGTTTTAACAGAAGAAAATTACTGGCACGCTCAACATATTGTTTTCGAACACTTAAATACATTTTGAGGATTTTAGTACATTTTCCTCAAAAGCCATTGTCTAATTTTTAAAAAGAATGTGATCAATTGTGCCAAATGCTTTATTAAAGTCAATGAAACAGGCGTTTCCGAAAAATTTTTAATCAACAGATTTCTCATGAACTCGGTGAAACGAATCAAAATATTTCAGTTGGAAGCCATTTTGCTCCATTTTTAAAATGTCATATTTTTAACGAACGACTATAAAAATTTTTGAAACGTTTTCGAAGTAGAGCTGAGTTATAATTATTGCGATCAGAAAGTTCACCACATTTAATTTCCGAACTAATTAATTTGTTTGAATTTAAAAGCTTTCGAAATAAATGTCGCGTTTTAATCGAGCGTCAATGAACGAGTAAGGTAAAATTTTTCTTCAGTACTGGCGATTTTTTAATTGTTTCTTTCTCAGGGGAAAAAGTTTTAATTTGATCTTGTTCAATTTTGATTGTTTGCGGTTCTTGTGACTCATTTCAAACTCATTTTTCGAAAGTAAGGCAAGTTAATGTTTCCACTAATGAGCGTGCAAATAATACAAACACACTTGGATGGCATGAAGTTTTTGAAAATGGATTTTATTTTTTAGATTTGACCGCAGAGTTTAAAAAAAAATAGTGTATATCTTAACAGTTTTTTGAAATTCAAATAGCTATCATGTGAAGTAATTTTTTTGAGTACTTGAGTGTCCAAAATGTTGTTCTCGGTTTCCTTGTGTTCATTGACGTGCTTGGCGTTCCTCAATAAACTGTTTCGTTGATATTTTTCTCAGATTGGATTTTGCGACAGGGTCATATGAAAAAGTTGGCAATTTTTCCTAATAAGCTTGTTCATGTTTTTCTCCGCTGTGTTTTTAACTATAGCACTTTTAAAATGACCAGTGCTTCCATGTTTCAGAAAAACCTTTTCTTGACAGTTATTCGTTGTCGAAATCAAGTTATATTTATTGGCCTCGTTGATAATCTCGCGCTGTTTTTGAGGCAGTCGTTCTTTCATTAACATAGGTTTTAAATTTACCGGATTAAACACTCTCGCCAGTCATGATTTTCGCCAAAAATAGTGGGTGGGTTATTCAAATTGTCCCATTTACCTGGTAGATTACATGCTTTAAAATTACTCGGCTGGGTTTCGTACTGAAGATAAAAAGTAGCATACCTGATGTGAGCGAGGACTGTTGTTATTTTGAACTAATATAGGAAAGTGATTGGAGATGACTGTTCATCTTGATTTCTGGTTATCGAAATAAATGAAGTTTGTTTGAATAGATTTTCCATCGTAGTCATTCGTCCTCTGTGTAAAAAATTATGCGTGCCTGCTGTTGAAAATCAATATGACTGAAATAAAAAAAGGAGCTCCAAATTATCAAAATTGCGACTGAACTGTCGCCAAATGTAAGATAAGCGACTGTTCTGGGTTGTTTGGTGCACAATTAAGAGTGAACGTAGTGAGTACTCTTATATAGTTCTTGCGTTTTTTTTTGTTTTTTTTTCAGGAAAAAGTCTTTAAGTTTGTTCACGCTCAATGTTGATTTTTCGCGGCTTGATTTGTGATTTCTTTTTAAGTTCAGTGCATTTACATTGTTAAAAGGAAGGCAAACTCCACTATCGAACAGCAAAAGTGTAAAGGTCACGATCGTAAACGTGATCGACTTCTGATTTCAAAATGGAAGTTAATCAGATTTCTCTGCGAAATAAAAGTTTTACCTATTGATCCAGTTTTCTCAAATGGGGTTAATTTTAACAAAAAAGTGTCCATCATAAATTGTTCTACAAATTCAAAGAGCTTTAAGACCACCTATTTTTTTCTTCGAAATTCAAAAGTTGAATGCTCTTGAAAAAACAAGTCAGTTTTTTTTCAGTTTCCTTGCGTTGATTACTCTTTTTCAACTGTCAGTTGGCTTATGTTTGGTATATAGCGAAAAGTTTTTGGCGTGTTTAGTCTGGTGCATCAATAGCCGACCAGCAACAACAGAGCAGTATCAGCAGCAGTAGCAGTGGGGGTGCCGGTGGGGATGTGCAGTTTGGGCTTTTAGTGCGACTGTTACGCATAGTACATATACTGGTCTCGCGATACATGGACTGTCTACTGATGGAGTGCGAGATATTCCTCAGCCATTTAGTCCGCTTTCTCCACTCGCAGTCACCGCAATGGCTCAAGGTCAATTCAACAGGCCATACATTATACATAAAAGGGCTCTAGTTTAAATACGTGCTGATATGAGGTTATTTGATTACTGGCATTTTGCCTTCAGCCGAAGTGAGCGCTGCAATAACAAGTTAGATAATCAGAAGGAAATCAAATGGAAAAATATTCAGTTGATTGTGTTGTTATGTTTACACTAGCCAGCTTGCGAGGCTAGTGTATTAGTACGGACCTCCTTTTTTCCAACCTAACTCGCAAATAAAATTGAATAATTGGAGGCCCTTTTGCTATAATCACGATCTGTAGCATTGGAAATTTCATTGAATCTGTTCTCTGCTTTACTTGTGGCTAAATAGATTGTTTAGCGTCAGTGCCTTAGTGTTTACTGCGTGAAACTCATAATCTCTAGGTAGCATGATCGAAACCGACGCGTAGTCGAATTTTTACTAATTCAAGGCATATTTCTATTTTTTTTCGCTTTATAGAGCTGCTTTTTTGTCGTGTTCTCGCTAGTGTTTGCGAAGCTCAGCTTCGCCTATGTATGCATGTAATTGCAGGTGCTGAGCTGTGAGATTGTGCACTATATCATTGCACAGCCGAGTCTGGTGAGTGGGATCTGTGAGAAGTATGACCTCAAGTCCTCCTCAACCAAAATATACGCAGACATCGTCACATCAATCGGACAGCTGGCACAAAACCAGTTCGCACTTTGCTACTCCACTTCTGCCAGCCAGACATCTGGCAACAACAGCGGCACCGCTACTATGGTGACCAGTGACGTGTCTTTCTTCTACAAAGGAGTCACCATCCCCATTCTATGCAACCCACAAGGTCAGCTATAAAGTAAAACCCAGCCATCTAAGTAAGCAAACATGCCAACCACCAACAAGCAGATGATAAACAAATGACTTACACTCACGCTAATACATGTGTGCTTCAAGGTATTCACAACTGTTAAGGCTTAACTAAGCAGGGAAAGGGGGGTAGTAGCAGCAAAGAGTGCCTGAGTGGCTAAGAAGCGCGCGGCCTTAAACACAAAGGTTGTGGGTTCGAATCCCACTTCGGTCACGGTCGGAAGGGTCCAAGTGTCATCCACCTTAAGGTGGGACCGGCTGAGGCAAAATGGATGACATATCTTTCTCTCCCACGGAAGCTGGGCCGGGGGCTATTGAAAAAAGGAGCAGAGTAAAATTTCGAAATTGATTTTCCGAGCATAAACATGAAAATGAAATTGTTCAGAGTAAAAACCTGTTTTTGAAAATTTTTGAAAACCTGAATTTGATGACTCTTTAGATTGGTATGTAAGTAATCAACAATTATATGTAACTAATTGCAATTAATTGCAAGTAAAAAAATATAAGAATGTTAATTTTTAAACTATTTGCTTCAAGCGACAACTTGTAACCTTTTTATTCTTCAACCGTCCCAGCTTACCTCAATAATTCCATTATTTTGTATCTGTTTAAGAGCCACATTACGTCATCGTGCTGAAGATTTTTTTCAGGAAAAGTTTCAGGAATTTTGTTCAGGCTCAAGTTTTCTGTTTCGCGGTTTGACTCAAATTTTTTTTAAAGTTCAGTTCATTGCCTTTGTTGGAAGGCAAACTCAACTATCGAACAGCAAACGTCTAAAGGTCACGAAAATTGTGATCGACTTCTAGTTTCGAAAGTGGAATTAATATACAGATTTGCTAGCGAAAAAAAGTTGTATCTATTGATCCAGTTTTCTCAAGTTGGGTTAATTTAATAAAAAAAAAGTGGTGGTCGTTGTTGTTCTTGAAATTCGAAAAGCTGTAATAGCATCATTTTTTTTCTTTAAAATTCGAAAGTTAAGATTTTTTTTGGAAGGCTTTTTTTGTGTTTACTTTGGCTGTATGTTGGCTATGTTTTTCCACAAAAGCTTAAATAACTGATATTTTTATTATTTTCAAAAGTGAATCATAAAAACTCGTAATTTTATTTTTTAGACAAGCTGAGCTTTGTGAAATTTTACGAAGAAACTTTTTTAACCTAAGTCGAAAGTGATTTAATGGCTCATATTTCCAAGAATTTTATAGCATTTGTAGTTGGTTTTTTGGTGTCTAATGTTAGTTGATTTCGAGCTAGCGTGGCGCAGATATGAGGACACGAGATTCCGAATCTAGTAACTGAATATTAAGTTTCGGCTTATTGAACTCCGGCACATTAAATTCTTAATTTGCATGTGTCAATAAATTGCGATCATCAAAAAAACTTAGTCTATATTTTTGTTCCGAATCCTGAAAGTGGGAAAGAACTTCTTCTCTGGGCGTTTTAGTTTTTTCCGCGCAAAACCTGTGTCTGGAAAAACTGATTTGAAAACCGTAGCTAGTAGGCTTATATTAGGTCTTTTTGTCAGCTCTCATTTAAGCTGTGAACTCTCTCGTTCAGTCTAATTATACTGCGTTTAAAAAGTTTCTTTAAGCGACTTCATGGGAAAAATTTAAAACATTTCTGCAAGTAAATCTTTAATATAAAGATTCGCGTTCGTATTTTGGTTGGAGAAAAGTTGATTTTGTGGCAAAACTATTCAAGCTGTCATATTTGATCAAATTTTCAACAATCGATGGGCATCCTTGTTCAGATGTTTAAACACTTAGAATTAGGCAAAAGAATTTGATCTGTAATTGGATCTTGATATGTAATACCTGTGGAGCGAATAAAGCTGTAAACGTTAAATTGATTTGTTTTTGTTTCATCATATGGATAGCTTGCTTAAAAACTTGCAGAAGTCGGGCTTGGAACTTTTGGTGGCGTTGGAACCTACCACTTTTTGAAAGTATTTAAAGTTTTTCAAACCTTGTTTGAAGAGTTTGTTTAAGTACACTCAGAGCTTGCGAAGCGTAGTGTATCAGTACAAACCTTTTTTTCTAACCTAACTCACAAATAAAAGTGCTCATTAAAAGTGGTCACTTATTTGGTGGCACTTTGGCTATAATCACGATCTGTAGCATAAGACATTTCATAGCATCTGTTATCTGCTTTATTTGTTTGGCTGTTATTTGTGATCTATTAAGCGTCCGTGGCTGAGTGGTTAGTGAGTGAGACTCATCATAATCTCTAGGTTGCAGATCGTATCCGAGACGTAGCTGATATTTTACTAATTCGAGGCTTATTTCCACTCTTTCTTATTGCACTTTATAGAGCTACTTTTTTTCCTGTTCTCGCTAGTGTTTGCAAAGCGAACCATTGCCTCAGTGTAATTTGTGTTTACAAAAATTTCAAGCTATTGATCGAACTTGGAAAACTAAGGTTATTTTAATAAATGACTGGCTTATTTGTTCAAAATGCCGTCGATATTTTGAATAGCTTGGTTGCGTTACTTGATTATGTGTTGAAGTAATTAACGATACCCGACTCATTTTCGAGATTTCAACCGTCATAGTGTTTCATTGAAAAATTTTGTTTAGAAGAAACTAATAAATCTGCAGTTGAGTTGATGTATAAATTGCTGCACGGAAAGTTGCTTCAAACTTAAGTCTGTATGGATAGATAGTTTGCTTACGCTCTTAGTGGAAAGGACAGCTCGAGGAATGCACTCTAAGCTTTGTAATTGAACTTAAGTTAAATCAATGGTGTAATTTATGGATAGACTGCTTAGAAAGCTCTTTTTTTTTTAAAAAAGTTATCAACCTAATCTAGGAACAATTCAAAATTTCATTGTTCAATGAGCTTTTTAAAAATATATAGGAAAAAAATCTTGTGCAATTTGGTCAGAAGTGTCGAAAATTATGATTCTTGAATTGCGATTAATTGATAGAATGAGAAAATCACAGCTGAATAAGAAAATCAAGAGTTGAATTGATTGCTGTTCGTAATCATTTACTAAAAGAAAAACAGTGAGAGTCGATTTGGAAACTGTTCCAGAAGTTCCACGATTTCAATAGATTACGATTGGACCCAAAGCAAATAGAAAGATTTCAACAACGTTTGTTTTACAGAATAAATCGAAACTTACGAAAAATTCTACTAAATTCAATCGAAACTCACGAAACTACTCAATATAAGTCAGTTACATATGCTGGAGAGTACTCCTTTGTTGCTGTCACGTTTATGTGACTTCATTCAAGTTATCTGAGTTTTTCTTACAGTTATGCTCTTGAGATGAAGTGAGTAACAGGATGAGATATCCGAAATGAATCAAGCACACGCTGTCTAATGAAAAATAATTTTCCAACCCATTTTTATCGACATTCGCGTCTCTTAGGTACTTGAAAATTCAAGTATAGGGGATTTGCGCACAAAGAAGCCTCCGATCAGAAGCACAAATCCCCTGCCATTGATCAAACGGCTAAAGAGCCTTGTTTCTTCATAGTACATGCAAGTGAAGGCCTGTTAAATCTATAGGCAAGTTAATGAAAATGCTTCTAAAATATTACAAGGATTTGTGTGTTGATTAGTGTGCTAATAGATAAAATTAGATCTCGAATAGATCAAATTAAATTCTTGATTGTGTGAATATCTGAATTTGGAGTAACCTCTTTGAGTATTGATGAGACAAATCAAACTTTAAAATTCAACTAGAGATAATTCGATGCTTCTTCAGATGAATGGTTTCTTAAAATCTTCAAAATGATTCTAGGTATCAAAATGGAACGAACTTGTTTCAAGAAAGATTTGATTATTTTCCTCTTTTTTTTGGGCCAACGAGGCATTATTTTTAAAAATTATTTCATTTCAAGAAAATTTTTTGTTTTCAGGATTCTGATTGTCATTTGGTTTCATGTTTTTCCGACCAAATGAAAAATGTGGAGGAACTTTGTCTTCGGGTGTTTTCGTTTTTTAATGCTTTTTTTGTTTTCAAAGCAAAATCAGGTACCACGAATAATCAGCGGACTGGGTTTGGGTGATATATCTTATTAAAGAATTTCCATTCGTGATTCGAACGACATAAAAAACAGGTTTGAAATTTTTGTTGTTATTTCGAGCTAATAAGGTAAGCTTCCAGGCTTACAATAGCTTATTTATGCTTTCTTTAAGCCATGAAAACGTTGTTTCATTCGAGTAAAGTTAGCTTGTGGAGTTTTTAGCGCCATTTTGGGAATAAAAAATTACTGCAAAAATTAAGACGTTTTGAATTTTTCTTACGATTTGTTTGTTCCTTTATCTAGTCATTTTTCTATAAAAACTGTTTTCCTATCGGTCTATTTTACTATGACTGCTGAATATACCTAAGTTCTATTTTTTCGTTCACAACTTACGTTTCACACCACGCAACTAATTTGAAAAAACTTTTTTAATTATTTTATCATGAACATGTTAGTGTCCCATTAACTCTCGTGAATTGTCAGAGCTTCATAGCTTTTTTGTGGAGTGCAGTTTTTCTTCAGTGTTACTTACTTGAGTAGAAATCCTTGAATTTGTCCGATTCGAGTTTTCACTTGCTTGAAGAGTGTTGTTCAGGGACCAGTATGAAGAATATGTACGTGGATGGGATGGACAGGAGTGACATGCCATCTATTCCGGAGTCATACTCGGTGTCGCTCTCCTACATATGTGTGCTGGACATTGTGCGCAGTCTCAATCACATATTCGCAGAACAACTTACCCCACACATCAGCGCCACAACAGCAACAGACATCCAGAGGGAGGGAGAGAAAGATGAAGATGGTGGGCTTGCGGTGGAGGGTTACAGTGAGCAGGACGTGTCCCAGCAGCAGCAGACACCTTTGGTGCAAGTGGTAGCTGGGGAAAATGGGACAGGCAGGTTGAGCTTTTCCCAGCTGGTGGATGGAGAGAGGAAGCGACTGCTGCATGAGTTGGTGGCATCTTCCTGGCTCGGAATCATGCCCCCTCTCTGTCTCTTCCTAGAAGCTGCTTCAGACCAGCCGGTGGTGGACACTGTGCTCAAGGCATTCCAGGTACTCGACTGCATTCATTGCCCCTGCCCTCTAGTTCCTGTACCGCTCCAAACTAGCGCACTCCTTATACACGAAACTGAACATATCTGTGAACTTTTATATTCGAAAGACAGCTGAATAAATTCCTCTATAGAATAATTTTTTCACTGTTATACCATGCTCCTAACTGACTCTGATTTTTGATTTTTTGCAGATCTTAGTGAAGTTGTCGGGCGAAATTGGACTGGTGAGTTCGAGGGATGCATTCATAGCATATCTGTGCAAGGCGTGTCTGCCCTCAAGCTATGCGCCCCTCTTCCTAGAGAGCTTTGATGTTTCCAACAACACTCCACAGAGCATAGCTGCCTTGTTCAAGTTTACGGAGGAAAACAAGAATGCCAACTCGCAGATTGTGGCCATCAGCCACGCACTGGCTGTGCCTGGACGCACCTCTCCCCAGAATGTGTCACTGACTTCAAAGAACCTGCAGTGTATGAATGCCGTGCTGCGTGTGACTGCGGAACACGGGGCTAGCTTCGACACCTCGTGGAACTTCGTGCTGAAGACGCTTGAACACTTTGTGTGGATACTGTGTCTGAAGCCATCCACGGGTGGCCTCCTGAAAGCGGCCACCTCAATGGGCGAGAAGTCGAATACGGTGATCACGGCTGTCGCCCTCAGCGAGATCCCCGACCTCACCATGCGGCTGTCTAAAGTGTTCACGTCTACCAAGGACCTGGAAAAGGAACAGCTGGATCACGTCATAGGTGCTCTGATCTCTATCTCCAATTGTGCACTACAGTCGGCGGCTAGTATGAAGGAACCCTCTTTGTTTGGACCGGCTAAGCTGCTGGAGACTGGGCTGGTCAATTTGTTCCGAGTAGATTGTCTTTGGGACACTCTCTCCTCCCACTTCCTGCAGCTGTGTCGCAACGGTAACGCCTACTTGAGGTGCTATGCCGCAGACGCCTTCACCCAGCTGGTGAGGAGTGCTCTCTGCCACAACATCAGAACTGAGCAGCAGACCGGTGACCAGAAGCTGCAGTTGGACTTACTCAATCCACTCTCCAGCATGTGCACGATTCACTACCCGGATGTGCGACTAAAGCAGCTGGAATGTGTGCACCAGATCCTGCAGACAAACGGACAGCAACTGGTTTGTGGCTGGCCAATTCTGCTGCAGGTGATTGAGTCATTCGACGTGGAGCCTTCGTGCGATGGACTGGTCAAAACAGCCTTCGTGAGTCTTCAACTGGTGGTCAGTGATTTTCTGCATTCACTCCCTGCCAGTTCCCTTCTGCAGTGTATCAACGCGGCCTCCAAATTTGGCAACCAGCGGGTGGAGCTGAACATCAGCCTGACTGCAGTAGAGATCCTTTGGAATGTGTCTGATTACATTTTCAACAACTACAAAAGCATAGAGGCCGATCTGGGGAAAGACAAGCAGGCGAGTCACACGCAGAAGGTAAATGACTACATTCTTGCCCTATTCGTTAAACTGGCAGACTTGTGTTGCGACGAGAGACCTCCAGTGCGCAAAAGTGCGGCGCAGACTCTCTTTGGCACCATAAATGTACATAGCTCTTCGATGGACGTCCACTTCTGGCACACTGTCGTCTGGACAGTCCTGTTCACCCTGCTGACGGAGGTGAGCAAGAGCTACACGGTGGCGTGTGCGGATGTGGTAAAGAAAGACCTGCTGGTGCACCACTCGCGCGACACTCCAGAGAAGCAGTGGTCGGAGACTGTCGTCTTGTGTCTCAGCGGAGTCTGTAAAATATTTGTCTCTTTTCATCACACTCTCTTTAATGTCTCTGGCTTCGAGGAGATTTGGAAGACGCTCACTAATGAACTGCGCCAGTTTTGCGCGTTATGCAAGAACAATGAAGTGACTAATGCGGCTATTAAGTGTTTCCAGGATCTGGTCGAAGTCTTGGGAACAGTTAGCAATGACGTCAAGCTGTGGACTCCTATTTGGGCCGCTTGGGTGGGGATGGGAAAAGAATTGTTAGCGCCTACTAATCTCCCTGCGAACTCGGCAAACTTGAAAAAATCTCTTTTTGTTCCTAGTCAACAGTTTCTGACAATTTACGTAACTCAATTTGTCCCTATTTTTAAAGCTCTCAAAAAAGTGTTTACCAAAAACGATCTAGAGAGTTTTGGGCTCTATTTGACTGCCACCGTCTCCATTCCGTTGCCAGGGGACTCAACTGCAATTTTCATGCTGGCGTCTAACCCAGATTGCAACGGGATGAGTCCACTGCAGACGACGGTGATCAACTGTCTCACCACCACCGCCTCCCACATTCTTGACGGTTCACCTCCCGGCGGAGGTGGAAGCAACCAAGACTGGCCTCTGCTGCCGACACTATACGCTCTACTGAACAATTTGTCCACGTTCGCCTGTGAGGTGCCCCCTTTCGGAGGAGGCGGGAACCCAGGAGTGAAGACGAGGATAATCGATCTGAATGTGCCTGCGACCTACAGGGCGAGTGCAAATGCGAACAGCAATAGCAGTGGCCATGAGTTGGTCCAGGTCAGCTGCACTGTGTTCTCGGAGAAGTGTCTGCGTCTGGTGGTGGAGCTGTACGCTAAGACTCATTCCAGCACACGAGTTGTGAAGGAGAAGATCATGCAGAGAATAGTGGCTGCCTGTAGGAGACCCCTGGCCATGAAGTATGCTTGCAGCTCCAAATCCACCTGGAAGTGTGCACTTGCAGCTTTAATGAAGGTCAGTAGCAGTGTGTAAGCTATCACACTATAACTGCCCTTTCCAGCAACACAAAAAACTAAAAAATTATCAATTAACTCCTTACAGTCTCTATGTTAATCTACCACTGTTTCTGGTTCATGTAAAATTGTTTTGTCCAGAAACATTTCAAAACCAGAATCAGAGTTTCAAAACCGGCCGCATCCACCTGAGGTGTTGTTGTTTTTTATCAGACTAGTCGTGCAATTCTTGTGTAAAAACTGACCATTGTACGTGATAGTGATTGATTGAAAAAATGAGGAGGCCGGTCTTGGTCAATGAAAAAATGGTCGAAGAACGACTAGCCTAAGAACAGAACAAACGAAAAAGTACTTGGCTGTTTGAAAATTTGGTCTTGAGTGTATTCGTTGGAAAACTAAGGATCTCAGCAAGGCCCTCATAAAGGTTTATTTTACTCATAAAAAAAGAACTAAAAGCTTTGTTAAGCTCTTTAGTCAAAATTGACTGAAAATTCACCACTTTTTATTTAGTGAGAGAATATACGTATACAGTAGTTAACTCGCGAGGATCCAACACGAGCCTGGAAAAACAAAAAACACAAGGATCAAAATACTAACCTTTATGAAAAAAATGATTTTCATGTAAATCGGAATTATCTCTCAGAAAACATTTCTTAATTATATACTGTATTTATTAATTTCGTTTATCTTTAATTGTTTTTACACAAGCAATGCTTGTGTTATAGTATGAACTATTTTTTTTTCCAAGCTAAGTCGCAAATATGGTTGCGATAAAATGTGATCATTTTGAAAGAGTTCATTTTAGGGGCGCAGAGACAATTCAGCCACAGACAATTCAGCCGATTTAAAATACAGACAATTCAGCCAAAAAAATTCAGACAATTCGGCCTATTTAGATTAAAGAGACTAGATAAAAGGAAAATTTAAAACTTTGCTAATTTGATTAGAGTCCGAAGGCTTTCAACGCTTTAACAAAGAAATGTGAAACATCAAATAACAATTTTCAAAGATCAAAACAAACTTGCTACGCATAAAGCTTTAAGAAATATGTACATTGAAGGTACAAAGTTTTAAATACTTCTGTATATGGTCTCGATTGTAGTTTTTTGCGTTTTGAACGAGTTTCTCATTGGCGAGTGTATACTTGGGCCTCGGTTTTCTAATAACATCACCGGACATCAGTCTCTCTACATTTATTTCGGCGTTTTTTTGCTCATCTTTGAAACGTGTGATCAGCTTGGGGAGGGCGGGGTGCTTTGTCGACACGAATTTATTGAAGCTGCCATTCCATGCCTCCAATGCATTGTTCGTACGAGGTTCACCGCTGAGCACCTGATTGAAAACGTTCCAATCGGCAATGTCAAATTTTGGTTTGACGCGTCTATTCCCTCGACAGGCGCCAATATAGGTGTCTTCAAAATAGTCCGATAGGGATCCTCTTTTCGGAGAGCCTCAAAAGCGGAAATAACGTCGTCAGCGGGAACGAATGCCAAGCAAATCATTTTTTTGACATTCAGCCGAAACTCATCATCGTCCATGTACTTGCGCGTCAATCCAAGTTTTTGTACATTGCGCCATACTGCCTGGCCTAGATGGAAGAATCAGAATTGAATTTCTGTATCAGGCTGCATTTTCCTTATGGCGTTGCGAACAGCGGCTTCAAAATCAATGACTACTTTTTTTCCAAATTGCTCTAATCAGCCAAAAAGTTTTTCATATGTGTCTTGGGTCTTGTTGGGCAGCAGAGCATACACCAAGGGTATAAATGCATTTTCGATTACAACATGAATAGTATAAACTTGGTAAAAGACATCTGGTGCCACTGAAAACGTTCCATCGCAATGACAGATTTCCGACTGAGAAAGCAAATCAAGCGCTGGTAATGTTGCAAAAACTAAAACTCGACTGTCCGACTTACCAGAATCGAAATACAGGAACGTATCACCGCTGTGTGTGAGTTTGAGAGGTTCAGGAATTTCGTCGACGCTCTCAAGGTTTTTTGGTTTTGGCATTGTTTCTAAGGCTTGCTGCCTGATTCGGTTTATACTCCGAAGAGATGTTAAGTAACTCAGTATTGTAGGCGCTGCATAAAGAGGCAGGTCAATTTGGGCGTTGAAGACAATCTGTCGTGGAGCGTTACCAGTTTTCGCGGCTCTTTCTCGAACTTCGTTAGCAAAGTTCTTAGCTTGAATTTTTGAGGGGCTCGGGAGCATGCTCGGTTTTTAAGGTGAGTTCTTGCTGTTCGTCCAAATAACCCACTGCTCTGCAATTTCCAAATGTAAGCAGAGGTGGAAAAGCGTCCGGAAAACACAAAAGCTGGTTTAATGTCGAAGATGCTGCAGGGAAACAACGTGTATTGAGTGGAGTCAGTAAGAAGACTAAAGACCTAAGCACGAAACCAATGCTGTGTCATTGAACCAGGTGATAAGTGAAGTTAACATCTCAGAAATCAACAACACAGTAAATTCAGACCAAATAATAGAGGCACGACTGAAAGAGCTAAAAAAAATTCGGACAGTTTCAAGGTTTAAAATAAACTTTCGCATTGTGAATAAACAAACATAACCGCTAGATGGGTAGATACCGTGAAAACAAGTTACATTCGTCTTATTTTCAACTCTAGGCTATTTGTTCGTGGCTTTGAAGAAATTGAAAAGCCACAATCCGATTCTCCAACTGCTAGTAAGGACTCTTTCAGGATATTACTGACATTATCTGCCACGAAAAAAATGGGAATCACAGTCGTTAGATGTCAAAGCAGCTTTTTGGCTTGGGAGTGATATTGCCCGAGACCTATTTTGCCGTCTAAAGAAGCAGAAAACGAAAATTTTCTTTGGAAGCTGAGAAAGGTGGTGTCCGGTTTGTCAGACGGGTCTAGAAACTTGTATTTTCCCTGAAAGATGAGTTACAGGCGAGCGGATGTGAAATGTCTACGATTGATCCGGCTGTCTTCAGATGCGTACAAAATGTTTCCCTCACAGGACTTCTTTTGGTTCATGTTGACTATGTTTTTTGGAGCAGTACCCAAAGTTTTGAAAGAAACGTTGTTCAGAGAATACGGAACAAGTTTTTGATTAGCACGGAAAAGTATCAAACTTTAATATACATCGGAGTTTACGTTGAAGTGCAAGCAAATAGTATTAAACTCTACCAAGAAAATTACGTCCAAGAACTTAAGTCAGTTAATCTACCGTATGAACGATGTAAATTTGCCGGCAGTGATATCACGTCAAAGGAATTTACCTTATTGAGGCATCATGTTGGTTAACTAAATTATCTCGCTTCAATGATAAGGCCGGATATAGCGTTCGACGCGCTAGAGCTCACGATTTCCGTCAGAAACGCCACAATCGACGTTTTTAAAAAAAAAATAGAAAAAATTATTGCCAAAGCTAAACAAAATTCTTATTACATTTTAAATTCTGATCTCGGTGGTATCGGCAAATGGTCATTAGCTGTGATCAGTGATGCTTCGCAGGCCAATTTGCCTGATGGGTTTTCGAGCGCTTTCGGGTTGCTTATCTTGATAGTAGGGCACAATCGGAAAAGCTGCCCCCTAGCGTAGAAATCGGGGCAAAATACAACGAGTCGTGAAACGTACCCTAGCAGCCGAAGTGTTGGCTTTGGAAGATGCCTTGGACTGTGCCTTCTATTTTGCCTTCTACCTTACGCAATCGATAATAGAAATTACAGCATTCGTGAACAATAAATCGCTACATGACAACCTAATTTCAACAAAAAGTTTGAGTGAGAAACGTGTGAGAATCGACTTGTTTCTTAAAAACTTTTGACACTTGCGAGCATTGTGTTATATGGCGATTCTACTTTTTTCAGTCCAGCTCGCATAAAAAGCAATTTTGCTGCATAGGATTTGCAGTTTAATTTGAGCTTGGGTGGCACAGTTGTGTAGGGTACATTTGATCAAAAGGGTGTCAATCATAATTTGTTCTTGAAATTCAAAGAATTAAAACTGAAAAGAGCATATAATTTTTTCTTCGAAGTTTGAAAGTTGAAGTTGTATAAAAAACCATATCAGTGTTTTTTCTGTTTCCTTGCGTTCGTTGACTTTTTTTTAACTGAGTTGGCTGTTTTCTTTTTTTTTGACCTTTTAAAAGCTTTGCCATGACGTTTTGTCGCTTTCGGCTAGCTTGCAATGCTATATTTGTTGTATTGTTCCGCTTCTCCTCTGTATTAAAAAGGTCTGGAGAAAACCACCTCGATCGATTTTTCGGTCGTTTTCTCATTAAAAACAAAATTTAACAGCTCGGACGCAAATTATTCCAAACTGGTAACCAAATAATTAAAAGTTGGCCGAACTCAAACTGTTGTTGCAATGTTAGTTGAGTCATTGCCAAGTGATAACTAGCATTGTATTATGTATTGCAATGTAATGTATCGTTGTGAACTGTAGACAAGGGGCATTAGGTCTTTGGTTGTCTTGAATAATCATGTCTCAGCATGAAGTATGCTATAGGTCATCATCACGGGACTGCCGGTTGCCACTCAGCCGGCCAATGAGGAACTGTTCCGGGAAATGTGGGTTGAGCTGGCTGACTGTATCGAGGAGTTCCTCTTCCCCAAGACCAGTGCCCCCGCCAACATGAGTCTGGAGGAGCACCAGAGCGACGAGTCCTACGATGTACAACTTATCAATCTCATCAGGTTCATACTCTCCTCTTTTTCTTTCTCTCTCTTTCTCTCTCTCAACCCATTCAATTTAATTCAACGTCCTTTCTCCCCTCCAAATCTAACAAAACTGTACATATGGTATTCTGGAAGTTAATTTTCATTTTTGCGTTTTTTCAGTTTAATTTGCGCTTGACTTCTGAATTCAACTTTCAGGTGCTCCAAAAAAAAGTTTCCCGCCCAGGTAATAAACAAAGCACCTATTGCAGGGGATCTAGGATTTTCTCGATGCTGGGGGTTACGTATTCTAAAAAAAATTTGCCCAAAACCACTTAATATAAGGTTTAAGTATAAGCTGATTTGGAACTTGGGAACTTGCGAAAAAAAAATTGTTAATAGTGTTGACCTTTCAATCTTAATTCTTGTTTGATTCTAGATAAAGATTGAAAGATCTCGAGGTCTTTTAGAAAACCATTTAAAAAATTACAATTTTTTTGTGGTTTTCTAAAAAAAAAATTAAAATGAATATGGCGCAGACGCTAGGAGTGGTTGGTTGACTCTTAATCTCGAGGTCTGAGGTTCGATTTCGGAACCTAGCAGGGTTTTTCTTCTCATAGTTGTCTTTTTTTTTCTTCATTTTTTCAGTGTTTGACTTCTGAAGAGCTACTTTTGTCGCTTTTGCGCTTGTGTTTGCGGAGTGCAGCTTCGCCTCTGTGTGAGAATGATTTTCTCCCCTCTTATTTTTAAAAATAGTTTTCTGTTTGTTTTCACGAAGGTGTTTTATCTTGGTTTAATTTGAGATAAAATTCTTGACAGTGAATAGTATTGTTTTTTTGACGTTTTAATATTTACAGAGGATCATATCTCAGTTGTACCTAAGCAATATTAGCAGTTAAGATTACTGCTGTGTCCAATATACTATCTTTGCAGTTAAATAGTTTGCTTCCAGTTCTGTAATCATATTCTTTACAAAGTAAATTTTGGAGCTAAAATACCCAGGCTTGTTAATAAGTTTTTCTTTTCTCTGTTATTAGGTGTCCATGAAAGATTTAAAGTCCTTTTTTTAGGTCGTATGGTTTCTTTCAGGAACTAATGTTTAAATTTTATTACACTCAATTGAAATTATTTGCGGTTTTTTTTAAAAGTGGGAGGACAAAAAGGCGGCAAAAGATTCTCTAATATAATGCTCTTATAAAAAATGCATCTGGTTTTCCCCCAAATACTAGTATTCAGGGATGTGTTAATTTTATCATTGACCAGACGGTTCATGTTTCCTTGATTTTGCTTATGCATGCGAAGTTACACTTCGCCTCTGTGTAGAAAGTTTTTATGATCTGTTTTCATTTTTTATCCAATTTCCAAAGAAAATTGTATTCATTTAAAACCCTTGCATATGTTCTAAGCTTACTTTTAATTCTTCTCAGCGCTTGCACTTTGATAAGGACCCTTATTTAATGTATAAAAATCGAATTAATTGGTCAGACCTGTTCTATTTGCGAAGCAACCAATAAATTTTGGTTTTTGTAAAAAGTTGTTTGATTTATTACAGTAGCGAAGTGTTGCCCTGTGCACGCAGTATTCCGAAGCAGTTTGTGGCGCGCATCATGGAGATGCTGAACAGGGGTAGCATCCATTCCGCCGCCAACGCCTCCTTTCTCGACGCAGAACTGGGACGGAAGCTGAGAGAGGACTTGGCCAGGACATGCTTCCACACTCTACTCCACTTCTCCTTCAGCGAAGAGAACAATGCTGCGTCCGGAAAAGGTACTGATCCGCCACACAAGTGTCCAAGTTCAACTTAGAGCTAATTTCAAATGCTCTGTCTTAGCAGTGGGAAGGTAGGGAATCTGTTTGTCCAACTTAGAGTGTCCGTTCCTTTGTCGGCGCTTTGATTAACTAACAGGTTTTTGTGTATGTGAAGTGATTATCCTGCAGTTACTGTGTGGTCTGTTGCTTGTAGGTGTGGGAGTGTCAGAGGAGAGTGCAATCACGCGTCTGGCGCTGGAGGCTCTGCTGACGAGGTGTGCACAGGTGCTGACCAAGTTCGTGGAGGATGAGCGCAAGAGTGGAAAACTGCCCCTGCCCAAGCCCCGTCTGGTGGAGTTGGCATTTGTTCTCAAGGCTATTGCAACCTTCCTCCAGTCTCTCTCCTCCATCACTGCCTCTAACTCTACTCTCCTATCCACCCCTAACAGTGGCAGAGGTGGGGGTCGAGTAGACGAGCACATCTGGCAGATGGTGTTCGATCTCTACCCTCTCTTGTTAAACCTCACGGCCACAAACGCCACACAGGTACACCAAAACACTTAGGAAAACTTTCTACGAGAGAAGCTTTAAACGCGCAATTCATCTGCAAATATAAAATATCCTAAATGACTGTCAACGAAAAAGATTTTCCCGAAAGGCTGAGCCAAATGACTAATTGAACAAATGCAATTACAAGGTTAGACTGCGGTTTCATGAATACAATTGTGTATGGATGTATTTGAAGCAGCTTTGCGCTGATGCTAAAGATTGAGGACGCCCTTCCTTTAAATCTGCTATTGATTTTGTGGATGGTGTGATTTCGAGTTCGGCGTCTGCAAAGCTCTTGTTTTCAAAGTATCTTCGCTGTTTGAGTCATGAACGTAGTGAATACTCTTATATAGGTATTAGTGATTTTTGTTCCGACCATTAACAATGGGGAGGAATTTTGTATTAGGCTGTATTTTCGACTGTATTGGCTGTTTGGTTTTTAAACGCCATTAAAACAGGCCAATCAAACAAAGAATTCAGGCCAATTAAACAAAATGGACGGAAACATTTCAGCCGGAATAATGCGCGACTCAGCCGTTGGCTGTCTTGACGACGTCGTACCGTTTACGTTTAACGATGGAATATTCCGAAGTCCAACCCCCGTGGGTGCTCGGTTTATTGGAATTAGGATGATTTCCCATTTCAAATGGATTAACTAATTTGCAGTTTTTAGAGCTCTCCGTTCTGTAGTGGTTTTTAGCTCAAACTCTGATCAAATGACAGTTTTTGAACGCGTTAATAAATTTCTCAGCAGCACATTCTTTCTGATTGCATAACTCTTGTTCGGTCGTAGTTTCTGTTATGACCTCATTTGTCCGTGAGCATTCGCTTGCCGCCGGTGCAATTAACCGATTAATTTCTCTTATTTGTGCAACTACAGATGTATTATCTAATTCCGAGACAATTGCGGCTTGCCCCACTGGATTATTTTCAGATTTTGCACAGTAACCGACTATTTTTGTTTTTCTTCTTTTAAGAGTAATGAATGTAGGAAATGCACTTAGGTGTGCACCATGAATGCGCTTAGGTATATATGCACTTTTTGAATTCAATTGAAATTCATCTGCTGAAAGTGGCGTCAATACCACTCCAAATACGAACGTGCAATTATTTCTAGTTTCGAAAGTGCACATTATTTTTTAGATTTCCAGTGGAATAAAATTTTTTACCTATTGATCCAGTTTTTTCAAGTTGGGTTAATGTTATGAAACAAGCGCCAGTCATGAATTGTTCTAGAAACTCAAACAGCTTAAAGGGCATCGATTTTTTTCTTTGAAATTCGAAAGTTGGGCTTTTTTCATCGCAATCAGTGTTTTTTTTTTCTGTTTACTTGCATTCATCATTCTTTTCTAACTGTCAGTTGGCTATTTTTTTTGTTTTCCACAAAATTTTCAAAGTTGTCCCAGTGTCGAGAAAAACTGAATTGAAATTTTTGAGATCGAGTAACACTCGTTATATGGAATCTTACTGTTTTTTTTAGATTTTCAGAATAAAAAACTGATTTACCTCTAAAGAAAGCTTGTTTTGGATGTTTCATTTAGTGCTTGTTTGGCAAAAAAAATAAAATTTTGTGCATAAAGTTTTGTGCTTAAAGAACCTTTTTGGGCATTCGTTTTTTGAAGACAAATGATTTCGATCATATTGTGCATAAAGAACATTTTTTGTTTGGTATTAGATTTTTTGAAGACAAATGATGTCGATTATGCCTATTTCACTAATTTTTTACGCGAATGTATAGTTCTCGAATCTCACTACCCATTAAAAACGAGACTGGTTAAAAAAAGGGAAAAAAAAACTTTTTTCTGTAGTTTAATGAATATGGTCGGAACATTCTGTGCTACTTGGACAGCAACCGACTATACTTGTTTTATTTTTTTTCTCGAATGTGTTCGTTCAATTTTGATTTGTTCGAGGTTTGACTTTGTTCGAGGTTTGACTTTGATTGTTCGAGGTTTGACTTTGATTTATGTTTAAGTTCAATTTACGTTCAGTCTTGCGATTAGATTTTTTAGACTAATCAGAATAGGGGAGCAGCTGATCTGTGGTTTCGGAAGAATTAGAACTTCTTAAAACTAGAGCGCTTTAAATTGCAATAGCAGTTACATTTGAAAGACAAATGAGTTTTAAGGAACAAATTGTGCCTTGTTTGAACTCAATAAATACTGATTTTATTTAGAGTGACGAAATTTTTTTTAGATGTCAAGGGTTTTGAGCAGATCAATTTTTTATCAGGCGTCAAACGACCACAAATTCTGTTTTCATAGGATTGAATAGCGACTGATAGTGATGAGAGTGTGTGTGTTTTAGGTGCATCCGATGGTGAGAGATGTGCTGCACGAATACAGGCCATTCCTCTCTTCCGCCCCCACCTCACTATCATCAGCACCTCTTTCTTCGGCCTAGAACAGAACAGAAACGGAACAAGGAAGGGTTAGAACTAGAAAAAAAAGAATGAACTGTTGGTGAACAATTGATTTTCTGTCGCTACCCTGATGTATTCTTGTAAATAAATTGGGAGGCGGATTAGATTATATATATCGAATGCAACTGATAAAAAACTGAATTCTCTGCAGAGGTAATTTGTCTGGATTTCCTCTAGCCCCATATCTAATTTATTTGTTTGTAAATAGCGAGGTTTTATTTTCCCATATTTGAAGTATCATAGCAGCTCATTGATGTTATAAACTAATGTTGCAATCGAATCTATATTGAGTTAATTTATAAATTGGATATATTCAATTTAAACCTGTGTCCAGCGTTATTTAAGGGCATGGCAACAATTCGTCGCAGACGATATTTCGTTGCATGGTGATTTAACAAGATTCTTTGCTTAGTAGTTCTGTGAAATATTCCATATCGAAACTCACACCCGCTCTGTGTCTATTCAGAACTATTCTGTGCTAAACAGTCCAATACAGAGCAGGGATCTACTTAACAAGATAAGGGGATATAAGTAGATTGAATTTGTCGAATTTATGAGCAATCAGAATGCATCAAAATTAGAACTGGAGGTTTTTGATAGCAAATATTTGATCGACCAATCAGAATGCATCAAACTTAAAGTTGACTTATCTGATTCCAACTCTAGTTGCTTGCAACTCAATGGAAAACTGGGACCACATGCTTGGGGAGGCATTCTACGGTAGGGCACTTACGGGGATTGTGCGGTTGTTCCGAAAACTCTAGTACTAATTTAGGGGAGATTCTTTAGCAGATATAATAGGAGGGATTGTTAAGATCTCAAAACGATGCCAAGAAGTATAAGAACGAAAAAGCGTTACAATACAATACATTCCGAAAAACATTCCGAAGATATAATTGCTTTTAAAATGCCTGGAGGCCGAGAATTTTCCATAGTTCAAACATCAGAGTGACCGCCGCAGTTGCGCCAACGTGTTGAGAGCTAGTCAATAGAGCGTAGGAATAAAGTTAGAGCTGGTTAACGCAGCGTGATCACCGGAAACCGACAGTCGCCTTGGCAGTCTTTGACCATTTGAAATTTACCAGAAAACCGGTCTCCATTAATCGACCGTCTCGCAAAAAGTTAGTTGTTCAGTGATAAATTTTGGTAACTTTTCAAGTTATTCCATACCGTGTACCGATTGGCTAAAGTTTTTCTGAGCAAACCATTCAAGCAATGAAATTTTAAATTTTGAAATTGTATGCCTTAAGTCTATTCGCAAGATACTAATTTTCCTGAGAAAACCATTCAGCGAAAAATTTCGTGTTATTAAGAGTAATGAACGCAGTGAAGACTTGTATAGGTCTTGCTGATTTTTTTTTGGGAAAAAATCTTAAAATATTGATGCACTTAGGTATAGTGCACTTTTTAAGTTCAATTGAAATTCATCTGCTGAAAGTTGCTGCTTTTTTGGTTAAAAAAAACAAATTTGTTTCAAAACAATTTTAATTAATTGTTTTACTTATTTATAAAGACCTTTTTTAAAACCCTAAGGTGCCCACAGAGTCTTCTTCTACAAATGCAAAGATTTCGTGCTTCGTGTCACGTCGAATTTGTTTCTGCAGTGAATCGGCAGTGAACGTAGTAGTTATGTCGTTTAGCACACTGCAAGCTGTACAGTGCGCACTGAAAGATAACATTGGTTAGTCAATAAAAGTAAGGCCCGTTGGGGCCCGTTGACAAAAGTGAAAACCTCGGCCCGGCCCGTTGAGGCCCACGGGAGGCCCGGCCCCTTGACAAGTACGCTGTGAAAATAACGCGAAAAAATGTGAACAATTTCTACTTTCGAACGTGAACATGTTTTTCAAGCCATGATATGTTGGCAAAATGATAGATTTTCAGGGAGCAAATCGGCTAGCGGAATGATTTTTTAAACGAACAGTAATTCAGTTCAACATCAATGATATATCTTATTAAATGTCACGTTTATATATTAGTACAATCTGTTTTTCCTAGTCATCTGGAAATAAATTATTCAAACTCGAACAAACTACAATGGCTAATGAATATCATACAAAAAAAACATCTCTACAAGTTAACTGATGTCCATCGAGCGCGCTTCAAGAAGTCTTTTCTCAACACAATCATGCTTCTCCGAAATGATGAATGGGATCCACGAATACACATGATCGAGGATCTGAGAAGCGCAAATCCAAGAAGACATTGAATCCACCAAAGCACTTGACTATACGAAATTAATTCTTGCTTCTCACTGATCATCGAGGCAAGTCTTATGTAAAACGTGGTAGCAAGTTTGCCCATGCCACACGTGCACGAAAGAACAAGAGGTGTGAATGAACTATGTTCAATTTCTCTGATACGTTGCTCATAGCATCTTTTTTCCCATTATGTGCTTTCTGTACACACTTGGCGGAGCATCAAAATTTCATTTGGCACAAAGATTGAATATTCTAACATCGAAGAACGCCTTCTCAAAAATGCCTACCCAGACTCCGTTGGCTGAAATAAAAAGACGCACTTCGTCACCACGTATTGATTTTCTGAAATCCGAAAACTCGCCAGATAAAAGCAGTAAAAGAGGTTCGACTTCAACATTGGAGCAAGTTTCAGTCCCGAATAGCTGGGAAGCCTCCAGTAGGACAAGACAAGACAAGCAGTGCTCAACTGAAAGGAAAAAAACCATGTTCTCCTAACGGGAACATTGTGAACCAATTTGACGCGCCTTTTCGTGAGCCAGTTCAAATGTTCTTGAGTATAGAGTACTGACAAGCTACTGCAGCACATCTTTCTTTCTTTCTGCGCACCGATCGTTCTTCTGTTTTTTAGTAGATGCCCCCTTTCTACCTACTTGCAACTCTGCCTACTAGCAACTAAATCAGTATCGCTTGACAAAAGTTTCTCAAAAAGAGGTTAACATGGTGTCCTGGAGTCGTGGATTTTCTAAGCGGCCTCTTTTTCTAGATTGATAATGTTCAAAGTTTCCAGTCTTGCGATGAATTCTAGCACAGATCTTTCAATGTCTCCTGGTGATACTCTATCGGTCAGCTTCGGCAAAAACTGCGTTTTGATTTTGCTTTCGAGTTTTCTTTAATTTCATCTTGGCTGCAGTCGATCACTCTCATCATGTAATTTCACTTCGGATTGAAAATTTGCGTAAAAGCTGCAAAAGAAAAAGTGGCTGCATCTCAGCGATAAGAGATAAACTCTCAAGTTCATTTATCCATCCATCTGACTTTTGAGAAGATGTTGTTAAATGAATTGTTTGCTGCCAATCGGGCATCCTAAATACTTGCGTTCTTCTGCTTAAAACATTATATCACTTCAAGTGAAAACACGCTCTGCAAAGTCCAACTGATCATATTTAACACTAAGCTTACTGGTGGATGCAATCGGGAAATACCCATACTCCACCATGACTTCAGTTGTTCAAGTTCTCCACCTGCAGAAAGGTGATCGGCCTACCAAAATTGCTTAACAAGGTCACGTAAACGTTTAATGAGAGTTAACAAAGCTATAGCTTACATTGGCATACCTTGCGGCCCGCCCTGAGAAGTACCTTCTTGCGACAAAAGCACTTCTCCGTCTGAAAACAGGTTTGCAGGCTTTCTGAAAAAATTGGTGAGAAACCTAGCCTTAGTTGGGCACTCAACATACATGTTCAGCAAAACAAGCTGTCTGTTGAGCTCATTAAGTGGATTGCTAGCATCAACCAGTGGCACTCCTTCAGATTTCGGCTCATTAAAAAGAGACGTGAGAGCTGAAGCCAACCTTTGACAAATTATTCAAAACAAATCTGGTAAGGAAAATATGACCTTTAACAATTTTGTTACCAAGCTTTTTTAAGCGCTGGAAGTTTGGCAAATTTGAAGATGTTTAATGGAGCGAATAGGTTGGTTTAAAACCTTTAATTTCTGAGCAAGTTTATTAATTATTGAAAGTTGGAAATAATTTTAGTTAGTTCATAGAACGAATCAATTTTTCACGCGCAGCTAATCACGCGATGAAAATGGAAATGTTTCAAGTCTTCTCAGAGAGAGAATTGGGTTGCAAAAATTGTTCAAAGCAAAATATTCATGCGAAGGAACTTCGAAATCTTTCAAGTTGATTCATAAAGCGAATTGATTCGCTAAGAAAATTATTCGATGCAAGCTGGTCGAGCGGTAATTTTTGAAGTCAATTAACGTTTCAAGCTCTTTCCTAGACGGAATCGGTTCGCAAAAAGTTAATCTAGCCTAGCAAGCTTTTAAAGCTAAGAAATATAAAAATTTTCAGAGTTGTTTCATAGAACAATATGGTTCGCAAAGAAGATTTAATATTTATCTTAAAGTTTTTCAAGCACAAGCTTCATGATTTTTCAAGTGTTTTTAGAGAGCAAATCAACCAAAAAATTATCAAGTTGACAGAACAATTTGATTTGCAATAAATTGATGGTTTTCCAGCAACCTTTTCAAATAGTGATTTTTGGCAAGCTGTAAAATTTTCAGGGAGCAAATCAGCTAGCGAAGCAATGAATTTTTTTAAAGAGCATTAATGAAGCGTTAAGATTTTGAACTATTTCACGTCAACTCATAGAGCGAATCAACTTACGAAAAATTTAGCGAGGTTATGAAGCAATTAAACTTCAAAAAATTTCAAGTGTTTTATAGCCAGAAACGTTTCCCGTAAATACTATTTTCTTTGAAAACTAAAAAAAGACGAAACTTTGAAATATTGGAAAGTCATTCATGAACCGATTCTAGAAAGTTATCCATATACAAAAATCGGTTTCCGAAAAATTGACTGTTAACGATTTTGTAACAAAGTTTTTCTAAGCAAAAAAAACTATGGAAAGTATAAAATTGTTTCATGAACCGAATCAGTTGGCAAAAACTCATTTTCTAAGCAAGTTAATTAAGCATTGAAAGTTGGAAACATTTCTATTTAAAACATAGAACGAATTAGTTTGCGATTTTTTTTTAATTTTTCCCTGGCAGCTAATGACGCGATGAAATGGGAACTATTCGAAGTTTTTTTTAAAAGGCAACTGGATAGCAAAATTTCAAATTTTCCTATTCAAACTATTCATGTGATCAAATTCGGAAAAATTCGAAATGATTCATAAAGAGAATTGCTTTGCAAAAAAAAATTTCTGTGCAAGCCTGAAGTTATCTGATGGACTGTATCGGTTTGCAATAAAGTAAATTAGGCGAGCAGGCTTTTCAAGCAAAGAAAATTAGCAATTTTTAAAGCTGTTTCGAAGAGCATAATGATTCGCAAAAAAAAGTTTAAACTTCTATTTATTAAAGCTCTTTGAGCAATAAGCTTCGAAAAATTTCAAGTGATTTCAGAGAGCAAATCGATCAAAAAAATCAAGTTTACAGAACAAAATG